ATTGAAAAACTAATAATATTTTCTTTTAATTCTAGAATGTGACTTCTAAGAATTTTATATCATTAATAAATCTGTTTCATCAGAAACAGATCAAAAGATATGAAAATAATTATATTCCATTAAAAATATAAAAGTAATTTCCGATGTTTTACACAACTTTTTTTATAATTAAAATTATTTTATTTTATTGAATAAAATGTTATATCTGTTTTTAGTTATTTATTTATATATGAATAGCCGTTGGCACAATTTCGACAATGAATGAATACAATAAGAATATTAAAAAAGATTATAGTTAAAAGTAATGTGATTAAACTTTTGATTATTAAAACCATTTCAAATGTTATATCTATTTTTTTAATAAAAATTTTTTATATAAAATCTCCTTTATACTACTAAAGGTCAAAGTTCAGAAACATGCTGTATAGCACAGCTGTAAAACTGTCGAACTGCTTTTTAATTAAATAACAACAAAACAATAGAAAGTTTAGTTTTATGTTCCATAATTTTCACGAAAAAATGAATGATGATAAAGTGCTTAGAGATTTAGGAAAAAAGACGCCCTAAAACTCTCTTCGAAAATCTTTTCAATTTGTTGGTTGTACTAGTACGAATGACTTCAATATTCTCAAAACGCTTCTCTTTCGAGCATAATCTGATTTTGAGAAAGAGGAAGCAATCGACCGGCACCAAATCCAGTCAATGAACTGCATAGATATTACCACTCTGGATTTATTTCTGTGTCAAAAAGCTGGAAAAATCTTATACGTGATAAGACGCAGACAAATCTCGTATATCTTAATTTTTCATATTTTTCTTTAGAATTTATTGAACGATTCTTTATCAATGTTCAATATTTTGTTGATTTCGAATCATAATTTGCCAATTTTACACGACTAATGTATAAATCTGTTTTTTATTGCTGCACTCTGAACCGGTGCAATAAGTTAAAATGAAACAAATGTACATTTGTTTCACTTCAAGATATTGCACTGTGTGTACCAATTCAAAAGGTGCAACAATAAAAAATAGACCTTTTAAATATTAATTCTTTTTTATGCCATGATAAATGGCGCTCATTTTACTGTCGTCTTAAATGGATTTTCAATCTTTAAAACTTTTGTATCATTTGAATATCGTACTCTGAGACAAATATATTTCTTGTCAAACCTTCTTTTATATAATATACTTAATAATACAAAAGCTAATTGCAATTAATAAAATCTGAAACAGAAATTTATGTCTCCACGTCCTATTATGTCTCCATGACGACATCACCATTACATAACCATCCGAAGAATTCATTCTTGAAAAGCCAACATTTTTCCCTAAAGAAGCAATTAGCTGGTCTTTTGGTTCGAAGATACTTTTGGTATTATACGACTTACGCATTGTAACTCAACTATACTAGAGTAGAAAAAAGAAAAAAAAGAAAAAAAAGGAAAGGTCATCCGAAGAGAAGAATTAGATCTAACAAGCATATATATATATATTATTCCGCCCCTATATTAATTTGTCGTTTGTATTTTATACAAGTTAATTAAAATATAAATATGCAATTTGATTGTTGATTGAGAAGGATCTGAACAAAAATCAAAACTAGTCCTATTGCAATTTATAAATATGTACATACAAATACACAATGTTGTTAGACGTAAAAAAAGATATTTTACTGCTATACATATCTGATCTTTTAAATGGTTACTTTCGTCTGAATTATATAATTCGAAAAATTATATTAATTATTAAAATAGACTTCGAATAAAATTATGAGGTCGGAAATGGAAAGGGATTCTACTACCTCGAATTTATCAGGAATATTATAACTGGCAAATTATTAAAACTGCAGTCCGAACAACCATTAACGAATAATAAACAGTATTAAATTTCAAATATTTGGAAATGAGATGATAACACCGTATAATATCTAAAGCTCTCATGTTTCCAATTATCGAGGATTTAAAATCCTTGATTTTAAGAAGGATTACTCAACTATTGGGAAACTAATTATTTAAATAGTATGTATAGTTTCGAATAAATATATAAAAGCATCGATTTACTGCGATTACTTATATTTTTTTTATCAATATATAATAAACGTATTCATACAAGAGCAGTAAAACAAGACTACAATAGTGTTTCAGTGTCTTTCAGTAAATTTATATATTGAAATTGTCGTTTTGGGATCTAGAATAAAAACACTTATTTCATTGCTCCTTTCGATAAATTGCGACATACGTGCCGCTAGTAAATATGAATAATTTACATTCTACATTATCTTAGTTATATCGCATTACATACGTATTATGTCTACTCATAAACAAAACGCATTCGACAGTCTATATTTATATTAAATATAATATTAAGCTGATCGCTTTGAGAAAATAAAATATATATTAGTAAGGATACAAGAAGGTGAAAAATATATTAGAGCCACGTAAAATTTACGATTAGTGTTCTACTTTGTAAAATAAATTTTACACTCTTAATAATATAGCATTTTATAAAATTTAAATTAAAATTAAGATGCTCACATCTTCTCTCTCGTGCAAAAAATCTTAATAAATTTCAATCTATTAATTCGATTGTATCTACCAGGTACTTTGTAATAAACAGGGCCAAGACGTTACCATTATTTATGCCTGAGAAGTAATCAGTAGGATCAACTGCACATTTATATTCTGATTAAGCACCATCGCTATTTCAAATCAGTGTGCCGTTAAATTCCAAAAAATTTATCACATATAAAGCACTCTATTATACCCAACAATGATTTTTTCGGTCTTCGTCTCGGGTATAAGTAATGCTAATGTTCAAGTCCCGGTAATAAGATTACATCATTCATTTTATAATGATATACATGATGTGGCTTTACAGGAAAAATGCTTCGCTGAATTTTATTTGGCATACTTTGCGATTGGGATAAGTTACTGCATGGTTTCAACAATCAATGAGGAATGTCAATGTGGCACGTATTACGTATGCATCTACATTGTGCGCGTTTTAAGTGTCAGTAACTATTCCTCGAACATTTAGGGATACAAGTCATATGTCAAATAAAAATCTATTGGTCCGACGAACATTGAGAAAATATGTGTAAATTAAAATAAACACTCCGTATTCCACCTTAATTTTTAAATAGATCGGCGCAGTCTCGTCTATAGAATATATTACATTATATTTTTAATCGAATTCGTTATAAACACTTTTACTTAAAATTTACAATAATAAATCGATAAAATTCATATAAATATATACAAGATAAAAAACTGATCTCAAAATATTAATACCCTTTATTTTGAAGAATAATGTCAGTTCCAAATGAGCAAAATGTATCCAAGCCCTTTCTATTCTGTAAAAGAAAAGTATGATTCAAGTAAAATTACATGAACAAGTAAAATTAAACATATGAAAATTATACATTGTATGTAATTATTTCCAAATCGTATAAATTTTACACTTACGTTCACGATTTTACATAATTCTTTTATAGTGTAATTTCTTCACCTTTTCTCTATCTCGTTACGCGTTTATTTAATTAAGTATCATCGAAATATGAGAAAAGTTCTCTTGGTTTCATTTTGAACGACCTCACTTAAAACATTTCAAATCATTTTTGTGATTAACAAGAAAAGATCTGAATATACAAATTCACTTGAAAGTTATTTTAAAGCACAGAAAAAGTGTGGAATATAGAAGCCGATTGCTACAAAGTTTCAAACAAATTACAATTAACATAATCAATGATTAATTTAACCACAAATAGTAGAATTTTTATTTTTTCTTTTCATGCGTCAAACAATAAAAAATTCTATTTATTTTAACAAAATACTACAGATATTTCTTTCATCGATTAAATTAATTGTACTTTAATTGAAATCACTCTAAAATCTTATAGTATTACGTGTGTCTGTGAATAGATTGCAGAAAATTCGTTTATAAGTTGTAAGTTTAATTACAATAATTTAATAAAATAAATTATGGTTTGGAAAAATAACAAAAGTGATTGAAAAGGAAAGTTCTGTGTATTAAATTTCTCATAAAAGAATGTCACGAGTGCATTTCGTTTTCACGTGATATGAATGATGTATTATTTTATTCTTGTTTTTATTATATAAATTATAATATATTTATATAAAGATTTTATTTTTTTTTTTTCATTTAAAAAATCAATGAAAACTATATTTACTTTATTTTCTTCTTCTGAATATTCAAAATTGATTTCTAATTTTACTTTAATAAAATTTTAAGAACTTTCATAAAATTTTATCTGATCAGCTTCGAATAATATCCAATTAGATACGTTTAATGTGAAAAGAATTTGCCATATGTATAGAAATCCATACCTAGATTTGGATAAAGCCATCTACCCATACAGCAATGGAAATCTGCGAGATGAACTAAAATCGTTCTGGATATTCGAAACATATTGCAATTTTCTTCGAAACGATATTTCTAGTTCATTATAATATCTCTGAAGTGTTCTAATATTGAATATTCAGAAAATCTCGATAAAAAATATATAAAAATTATAAAGAATAAAAATTATATAATCCGCATAAAAGAGGACACAGTCTAAAGGTACTTTAGGCGCTATAGTTAAAAATATATATACACGGCTAAAATATATATATATATATATATATATATACATATGGCAGTGTGTTATATTGTATTATATTTAAAAAGTATGCTCCAGATATCTCCCTTTCTTCCTTTTTCTCGTTCTCGATTGCTCTTAATATAATGCTATGATTCCCAGCAAGATATGTTAAAGAAATCCCGCAGATCTTTTTTTATCTTACTGTGTGGGTAGAGTAATCACACAAGCTCGACGCTGATTTTCTACATGATTACTTTTGGAGTTCAGTGCGAACGATCCAATACCAAATCTTCGTAAAATGTTCTAAACATGTAATTCACAAATTCTAAATGGAAGCAGTGTCGCCTTACATTCTCTCGCGTGATATTTGCAAGTTATTGCAAGGATTAATAAAAAATGAGATACATCGCTCTTTTTATTTACATTTTTAAAACAGAGATTTACGTGTATGAAATGTAATATTGAGATATAATTTGGCAGCAAATAATTATAATTTCATCTATTTAAATTTTTCTTATTCACCTTACAATTACTTGTGTAATATTTTGCCCATAGTGTTTTACTTTACATTTTCTAGACATTAAAAAAATGTTTGTCAATTTCGCAAACCTTTTTAATGTTAGTGAATCTGTCACCAATGCATAAAAAGGCATTGGGAAAGATAAAATATGTAATGTGTAATCGACATACTTTTATTAGGATGAATGCCATGATGTAACTAACGATCACTTGTATAGCATTATATAGAGGAAAAATTAATAATTATTCAAATAGTAAAACATAAAATCGGAGATATATGCTTGTCTTTTTTCTATTGTTTCAACATTCCTCATTGATACGTATAACAAAATTATGGTACAAAAAATTGTGCCATTAAAATAAACTATATTAATGGACACTAACTACATACTAGATTCCTTGGTAGTAATAATCTCGTTGGTATTATCAACACGAATCAAAGTAGTTGAATTTAATACAAGAGCTCTACCAAGAGTAGCAACTCGTTCCACTACGCACGAGGCAGAAAGGCGTGCTTCGGCATCGTGATCCCAACATTCTTCCATTGTATCACAAATTGATGATAATCCCTGAAATAACACACATTTTAATATATTTATAGACATTAAAAAACTATATATTCAATTTTTTTTTTATTTTTTTTTTTAAAGATAGAAAAACATTGTTCTTTGTACAGCTATCAAAAAAAATTTCTACTACTAGCAGTTTTTATACAAAAGGAATTTGTTTGCATAGAATTCATAATATACATATATATGCATTTCTACGCTGATTTTTTAATATATAAATAATAATTCGGTCGTGAACACAGAATTAAAATAAATATTTCTGTACATTTTTACTTACTGGATGTTTACGCCAAGTTTCTAAAATGAGCGGTCTCTCTTTTTTATGAACAACACTTTCCTGCATGTCTTCTAGAGTAGGATGGAGACCAACTTCGTCCTCAAATGGTAGTCGATATTCTCCTATTGGTCCCTAATATTGAAATAAAAACAATTAATACCTTTTGACATGCGCTTAACTTGCAAGATGGGTAGTACATGATTATTTTAGTTATTGTATGCGTGCACGCGCGCGTGTACGTGTGCGCGCGTGACTATATTTTAAAAATACGAAAATAATATTCAGTTTTCATTTTGTTAAGATTTCATGTGCAGTCGCATTTTTATCAGTCTTCAAAGTAAATTTTTTGGCATATTATAGTCTGATACGTTTCAGTTTTCTTCCAATTTCTTTTAATGGATAGTTCAGATTTTGAAAATTCACAAATTTGAATAAACACAATTTTTTAAATGTTAAAATGCGGATTATCTGGGTAATCGACGTCCAACAAATGGAAGGATCAGGTAACTCAAAAAATCGGATATAGGATATCCAGTAATCATTTCCTCGATATCCACATATTCAAACCATATTTACAGCTCTAGTCTTGAGAGCTCGCAGTTCAGCAAAAATGCATATTCTCTGTAAAATATGTTACACATAATATATATTACGTACATTTTGTACAGTACATCTTGAAGCTAATTCCCACAGAACCAACCCACAGGCATACATGTCAATTCGTAAAAATGAATCTCTAGTAAAATTTATTGCTCCTTCTAAAACTTCTGGTGCCATGTATCTTCGCGTTCCAACCTATAAATTATTATAGTTATTATAATTATTTTCACATTAATATAAAAACATAATGATATACACATTACCTGTCCGTGTGTATCACCGCAAGGTTTTCCTGGATGAAAAATAAGCGCTAAGCCAAAATCTGCTATACAGGCACTCATATCAGCCTTGAGTAAAACGTTTTTTGACTTAAAATCTCTATGAGCTACAGCTGGTTTATAGCCATCTGCTTTATTAGCTGGGATTTCCTCATGTAGATGCATTAAACCTCTGATAACAAAAATGATCTTATTAAAGATTGAACAATAACTCAATAAAAATATTATTTTATTCAATTTACATATAATCTTATTTCATTCTTAACAGATTATTATCGTTATTATTATAACTGTTACCTTGCCATGGACTCTGCAATTCTACACATCTCAGGCCATGTTACAATGTTTGCTTTTAAATAATCGCACAGTGAACCTTTTTCGTGATACGCCGTGATTAACCAAAATTCAGCTTGTAGATTATCTCCACGCTTTTCAACACCTATAAAGTGTAATATGTCCTCGTGATCCATATGTGCAAGCTTAAAGATCTCTTGTTCAGTCTGCCAAGATTGTTTATCTTGAATGGGAAAAACTTTAACTGCCACAATCTCATTTTTAAATTGGGCTTTCCAAACTGCTCCGAAACGACCTCGAGCTTTGATCTCAAGAAGTTGTATTGGTCGTAAGCCTAGATTAGGTGAGGGTTGTGGCAATGGTACTGGTTCCAGCGTTGGTATCTGAGATATTTACATAATAAATTTCATAAATTAAGTAATACATTCAAAAATTTTGTAACAATTTTAAAATACAACCTCGTTAAAATAGCCCAATTTTCGACGACGATAGAGCCACCAAAAAGAAAATAAACTAATTGTAAGAAGTATAGGGATTGCTATTAAAAGGGCAAGTGTTATTGCTTGCTGCTTTGCATTAGGTATAGGTTCTAATTCTGAAAAGATAATTATTTAAATGTTATTACAAGTGTATTACAAAAGACACAAATTTATTTTCAAATACAAAATAAACTATGCATATTTGAATACCATGAATAACGGATGGTTCTGTAGGCTTAGTGGTTGGTTGTGGAACCCAAGAGAAGTTTTGGTTACACATATTGCCTTCGCAACAACAAAAAAAGAATTCATTTTTTCTTTCCATATTATTCTCTACACAAAGTGGTTTACCATAACAATCATTGTTATCTAAAAAGCAACCCTGAAAATAATGAATAATATGTATAAAAAATATATTCAACAAGAAGAGTAAAATCTGTAATCTTCAATTTTTCAGTAAAAAAAACCAATATGAGATAATTCAAAGAAAATTATAATTATACTTTTAAGACCTTAAGATTAGTTAAAATAATCAAATTGTAAAGTTGATTTATATTACAAAATAATTAGAGATATAAAAGTTGTCAATATTTTTGTTTAACTATTAATATACGGTTTAGTTAAAACAATTTTGTTCTCTTTAAAAGCTACTCCATTTTAATTGCTTATGCATAGACTTGAATAGATTACAATATATTATATACACACACGCGCGCGCGCGCGCGCGCGCGCACACACATATAATATATAATACCCTTCATAAGTTTGGGAACACCCTATGTTTTATAGATTTGTAAATAATTATTTAATTGAAAAACGTACGTATGTATGTACTTTTACTTCATCTTTTTTCAATTAAAAATTTAATAACATGCTATTAAAATATAGAATTTTAATTAAAATGTGATTCATACGAACTCTGATTCTTCGGAACTATTTTATAATTTTTACGGAAACTGAAATCAACTTGCGACTTAGTTTACCACTTTTATAAAAAAACGTTAAACTACAATTCAATGACCTGTGTATATATAACGAAAACAAGTACAACATTCTAAAGTGACAATATACATATAGACAATAGACCAAAGCGCAAAATTCAATGTTGAGCGCTTCGATGCTGTAAAATGATTATCCAACATATTTTCGATATATACAAGCTTATAGTGTTCTAGATAAATGTTTATTGTCATTTCGCGACGTCTTACGAAGTATTTAAATCAAAAACATGTATAGATCGCTGTCATATAATGGCTTTCCTGTAAAACGTAGAATGTTCCCAAACTCATGGAGGGTACTGTAAATAATATTAACCAGATAAATAACCAACCTTTAATTTAATTATTGTTTCTTTAGTAGTACTGTTCAGTGTCCATAGTACATAACAATGATTACGTTTATCTGGATCATGTAGGATACATTCTTCTCTTCCTGAACATTCTTGTTCGTTCTCTGCACACATTGTGTCATTATAAAATTCACAAAAGACTGAACCTTTAATATCTTTTGCAGACGTAATTCCTAAAATAGATCATAGAAATGTTTGTTTTTAACATTATTATTTTTTATTAACGTTATTATTTTTATATTTAACATTAATTATATTGTTTTGTTTATCTAAAAAGAATTAATTGCAGCTTCTGCAATTAATGCTTTTAATTAATTGCTCTTTCAATCATCTAATTTATTTAAAATATATCATTATATTTTCTCTGCCAAAATGTAAACGAGGATAGAGTTTGTCTTCACACATAAACGAATCTACAACTTAACACTCATAAGATACAAGTATATGTATAAAGCTGTACTATAGCTGCTGCTACATTTAGCCTATATACCAAACTTGCACAAAGTTTAGCATATAGGACTTGGTCACTATTTAACTGAGTAGTCAGAAAAAAAATCTCAAACTACCACTGTAATTGTTTGCAAACTGTTTTCTATTATTCATCTATCTACAATTTACAAAGCAAAAACAGTGATGTAACTGAACATAGGAACAAATTGCTGGATAAGTTTTAAATTCACAAAGAGAATTGAAGAATAAATGGCAAGTATACACGACAGACAGCAGCATAATCATTTATAAACATATTAATCTAATGCAAAAGTACAAAATTATTGCAATTGTTCGACTTTATTCAAATTTGAATTGATTTGAATTAAAGAAGCTGGCTAAATATAATCTTCTTCTAAATATAATCAGTGACAATGTATAAAAATAACTTGAACCGAGTTCTAAACAACTTAATCGATTTTTACCTTCTCAAACACTATTATTTCGTCAATATAAATAGAATACTTAATCTTTCATTGTTTAATATATAGAGAAAAACTTAGATTAGTGATACAAATTATATAGTTAAAAATTGTGCAGCAAGCAATTTTGCCAGTTGAATTAAGTAATGATTAAATTAATCTAAGTTTAATCAAAGTCATCCTAAAATTCTCTTCTTTATCTTACTCTCTGAAAAAGTTCCACAATCCTTTAAATTTTCTGAGAATAAGATTTTGAAAAATAAAAAATACAAATTTTTAACAAAATATTACTATATATATTTATATATATATATACACACACACACATACACACACACACACACACACACACACACACACACACACACATACACACACACTTTACCTAATAATCCCAGGAAGATGAGAGGCAGTATCGTCGCATATACGGACATGGTGAGTGAATCGTAAAAGCATACCAGTAATTTTGAGTCTATTAGCTATTAAGCAAATTGTAGTAATTTATCCACCGACACATCTCTTCCTTTCTCTCTCTTCCTCTCTTTCTCTCTCTCTTTCTCTTTCTCTCTCTTTCTCTCTGTCTCTCTCTTTTGTTTTCCCTCTTCCACCTTTATACAGAAATACGTACAGCGCAGATTTATGTCATCTTCAACGTCGAATCATTGCCAGTCTCATAACTTCCGAACTAAAAACATACTCCTTCCTTTTCTCTTCTGCTTTTCTCTTCTGCTTTTCTTCTTCCTTTCGGCGCGTTATGCGACACGCTAGCAGCGCAATTAACTCGCACGCGATTTCCTAGTTAAATTAAGAAAAAGATTTCATTTTCGGAGTCCAAGTTAAAAGGAGCGTACGGCAGACGCGTAAGACGCACAGAACGACGACATGCTGGGTACAGAACACCCACAAACTGTACACTTATCATCGGCACGAAAATACAACACGGCAAAACATCATATCGCGGATCGTGGGAATAAAGCCTCAGGGAAAGAAGACATTTGATGTCTAAAGTCACGGTCTGCTTCTAATATGGCAGTCTAGCGCTTTTCCCTTGGTCATCGATTAAATATTATCTGAAGTCGACGAACTATCACATATTTCAGATACTCCAGCGCACGCAATGCCCTCTAAGCGATAATTCTACGACTTTTGTTTCCTGAGGCGCGCGGAAATACAAAGTTTTATATAAATTCATTCATATTTTTTTCTACGAATTTAAGACCAGCTCTGACCAAATTTTCAACGAATAACTTCGACTAATATTAAATCGATCGATACCTATTTCGATAAATTTTAATCTCAGTTTAACTTGTGGCTAATTATGCACACCGCGAAATTGTTTGTCGCGCAATGAAGTTGGAGCAATAGCCAATGAATTGTTCGTATGTACAAATCGATTTACGCCGGAGTTACAATATCGATGTTATGAAACTGGCCAATCATAGCTATTCCTCTGAAAGAATGAAAAGACTGTGATTGAACACAATTTCCGAGCAGTGTAAACTTCTAGCCACTTATCGTGCGGCGAATTGTAACGCGGTAGCCAATAAATAACTCCTAACATGTTCATTGATTATCGCGTCGCATTTTACCATAAGTTAAAGTAAGATTAATTTAATTAATCTACATTAATAGAAATGGACATAACTCCACAAACTGAAACGATCGACTTTAATTAACTTAATCAATGATATCTGTTGACATGGAAAAATAAAATTATTAATTTTCTTAGAAAGATTTGAATATGGAAAGATTAGATTAGGAACGATGAATTATATTATAAAAAATTGTAAGCAATTGTTGAATTAATATATATAATTAGTATCATTAAAATACTACCTTTTAGTATTTTCGTAAAATAATACAAGATAAATGTTACAAGATTTACACATATATACAACATCAATGTTTTGTTTTGTAAAACATTATTTTTAAAGAAAATGGGCCATTGGATCTTCGTCGCGTTTACGTTTCATTTGATACGCTTCTATCTCTTCAGCTGTCAATTCCTTTGTCTCGTACATGCTGTTGTACGGACGTTTCCTCTCGTCTATTTTCAACATCCTGTCTGCTTGCCCCGCATTTTCCTCTTCCTTTCTCAGCGCTTCTTTCAGTTTGTCTTCAGTTTCTGCATTATTCCGTTTTTTATTCTTACGATTTTCTTTTCGTTTCTGTTTTTTCAATTTTCGTTTAGCCGCTTTACTCTGCAATTCCGTTCTGTTTTTCATATCATCCTCGGACGAAGATTCGCTATTGAAAGAATGATTGTCATCCATTGTATTTGATTTATCTAATCCCATTTCTTCCATAGATGTTATTTTATCTGGCATGCTGTTGCTCACTGCTTCCGCTGCTTTTTTCCCTGATTCTCCGGTGCAATACGAATTTTTTATAAAGGAATGACAGCACTTATAAGCCCATTTTCCATCTTGCCAATAAGAACCCCAGATCGATGTGTGATTATTTGGATAAACGTCCTCTTCGTATTTGGACCTTATCACTTGTCTGTCTTGTCCTTTGATTATTTTACCATACCTCGAATATTCAACATAGTGTTCAGTCTGTGCTAATAATAGAGTCTTCGGTGGTGCTTGAAGATGCTCTTCACCTCCATAACGCTCGATGACACCATCACGTGCCTTGTCCTTCAACTCGTCGCGTTTCTTATCATATTCCTGCTTCAATAATTCTAATTTCGTAGGCTCAGCCAATAAATGTACGTCGACTCCTTTTTCATGCGCTTCCCAGGCAAACAATTGTGCATTAGCATGCTGCTGCGTGTCTCCCGAGAAACGAGCTGAGTTTTCACCTTTGAAATCCACTTCGCGTTCTGTACCTGCATAAGGATTGTCACGCATAGATCTGGTCTTTGGGTCATAATACGCGGAGTTTGGATCTAAATTTCGCAGATACTTGGCCGTGTCCTCTCGAATCCGGAGATTCCTCACAGTAATGCGCTGCTTGGAATCGACCTTTGTACCAGGCATGTCCACTTCGTCTACATACTTATCTTCGTCCTTGTCCGAGTCTTGCTCGTCGTTTTCTTCCTCTGCATTGAGTTTCTCGGCACGCATCTGCCTCTTGGCTTCTTCTATCTTTTGGTACTCTTCGACAATCGCTCTGTGCTCGGAAGGATCGTAACCGGCCCACCTGTCTCTCTTACCATCGTAGTCCATAGACAGCTCAGGTTGGGTAAATTCATCCGGCGCTATCTTGAAATTAGTATACTTTGCGCCAACCTTACGCGGTCTCTCCATACAGTCCTTCCTCTTGTGAGTCATCGCGCCACAATTCTCGCAAGCACCCTTACGATATTTGATAGCCGTTCGCGAGGTATCTACCCCGCGATTGTACCAATCGTCTATCGAATTGTATTGCTTCTGCTTCTCAGGTTGTGGCCTCTGATGCTTCAAAGTGGGGCCTTGAGAACCGAAGTACCATGGTGTCGCGCTGATGTACTGCGGAATGTGTGGATTGATATCTTTACCCTCCTCGTCGACGGCCGCGGGAGCTGTACCAGCCTTCCTCGCTTCTTCAAGTTCCTTCGCCTTTCGCCAGTCTTCTCTGCTCTTCTTCCGCGGCTCATCGTCGAACGAGCTCTTGTTCTTCAAGATGCTCGACACCGTTACGTTTGCCGACGAACCGGCCATTCTTTCGATTCACTACTGTGCTTAACTTTTGAAGAGACTCGTTATTTATTTACGTCTTAATATAAGACTGCTTATGAGGTTAGTTTCCTATTGACAGTAGCCAAAGTATAGCCAACTGTAGCCATCTTCGCGACGTGCCAACATATGTGATGCGATTTCTCGATGCGAGTACACTCAATCTAGTACTAATATCGTTTTATACTAGGAAAACTAGTGCAAAATTACGCAATTCGGTTTGTATATTTTTAAAAGGGTTAAATAATTTAATCCTTTTAAGATTGTCCTGATAAAAGGGGTTAAATTATTTATTAACTGAAAATATGTGAATTAATTTGCATTTAATTGCAGTGTTGCTCCCCAAAAGTGCACTTAAAACGAGATAAATATATATTCTGTGGAGACACATTCACTATAATTCGGACGTTAAAGAGAGAGAAAACGAAGATGCTGAGTGCAAAAAGTGCTAAAAACGCGAACAGATCTAAACTGTAGGAATGGAGAAATTCTCCACGCATGTGACTACTCGATTGACTAATTAATCGATGTTGTTAAGTTTGGCCGCCATGTTCGTGTTTACATAGTTCTAAATAGACAGATGTAATTATCGGTGACGAACGTAAAACGTTAGAACATGATTTGACACGCAACTATTTGATGCCATCTGATGACGAACTTACTCCATTTGAAAGGAAATACCGAGTTATATTAATTACACAACGCACAAACGACAATTCAAAAGCTATCAATCTTGCAATTTATATATATATATATATACACATATTTCTGCACAGTTATCATTTACGAGAAAAATGTGGTTGTATTTTATACTCGTCATATTCGGCATTTTTGATGTCGCAATGGCTTCCAATTTTGATTTCGGTGACACTTTAGCATTGATTTTAGGGTTAACTATAGCGATTATTGGATTCTTCGCTTGTTTGGGGGCTTACGCACGAAGGCGAAGTAATTTTGAATCTTTGTGATGCTTTACAATCTGTTTAAATATATCTAACAGTAAGTATAATGTTTAACACTCAAGTTCTTCATCCAAGATTACAAATAGAATATTTGAAATTTTTAAGTTACATTCACCCAAGATTTTGGCAATTCAATTTTAATATATTTAAAATGTCTCTTTGTGTGACAAGAAAATTGCTACTCGAGAGAGAAAATTGTTTATTTTTATTTAATAGATTCTTAGAATATCAGTCTGTTGTGTGTGTAATACTTTGTTTGGCCCATCTTTATGTTTATTATTAGTATTTATATATATCTATTATAATTAATAATTACAATCAATAACAATTCTTTCATTTCTTTTTATCTTTATAAAATATGATACTAGTAAAATAATATTTACAATTATTTTATTGGCAGTAATACTTATTATAATTACAGCATAAAGGAAGATGATGGCCAAAAGGAATAATTTCTGTATGTGGAAAAGAGAAAAACAGTTCTAAAAAGATTCGATATTCCTGAAATATAATGTATTAAGATTGTACATAATATCTAATATATATCTATTGCATAATAAAAAATATGAATAATAAATAACATTTTTATTATTTTGATATTAATTCGATGATATCGTAGTAGAAAAAGACAACTAATCTGTATTGTACGTATATTTATTTCTCTTCGTTATGTTTCATTGAAGTAATTTTTACATTTAACGTCTTTTGATAAAGGTCGTTTAATAAAGTTTCAGCTTGTTTTACAATATTGTATTATTAAAATTGTCACATAATAGCACTAAAAACTTTTTGGTAATTAAAATAAATTTATTAATGTTCTTATTTTGTAACATAGAATTTTGTAAACAAATCCCGCGATAAAAAGCAATATTCTATATAGCCGAATTGTATTTTCAAATTGTTTTAATACATACTAAATTATGATTATTTAAAAATATGTTTGTAATTGTTCCTTTGTGTTTGTGAAATTACTTAAATTACTTAAAACTATCATGCCTGCTGCTTGAAAATCTCAAATTTTTTATTGCAATACAATTCTGGAAGTAAACTATTAATTAATTTTATACATAGAAAATGTATTATTCCCAATAAGCAGAATAATTATTAATGCAATGCAGAAACTAACAATATTGACTACCGGAAGAAGACTCGATGGATATTCGATCTTCAAAAATTCAAACTTAGGAACGAATCACATTGGCTGTCAAAGGAAAACAGTGTGTCTTATTTCGAAAAAAAATTTAGATGAGAAAAATACGAAGGAAAACAAGAGATTCTGGCCTGATGATTTAATATTTCCACGACTAAAGAATACTCGCGTGAAATTTCATTAAGAACCATTCTTCACAAATAAAGCTTCGTTTATCAACTACTTGCTATCCGTATTTCTTAGGTGTCAACAAGATTTGATATAATAAACAGCCATTTCTCATATCAAATTACGACTGAGATTTCTTAGATGTAATGCAACATCAATATTCAAAAAAAGAGAAAAGGTACGTAGCCGTTTATGAATGAATTACTGAAAAAATTTCATTGTAATTTTAAAAAACTCGATTAAAACTAATATCTACTAAATTCATACATTATACTTAATGATGACGATTAGATACACCTACATAATCTCTCATTTAGTTAATAATCATATAAAATAATCTAATTTGAAGTCCATGTAATATATATATATATATAATAAACTATTGCAATTCTGGGAACATTACAACAGATTTTTATGTAATATCGTGATATAAAAGCACCAAAAAGAAGCCTTATACTTAAAAGGAGGTTTAATCTCAGCATAAAAATCACCAAGTTCAGGGTAGACGCGAGTCGCGTGTCGGAACGAATAATTTTAAACACTTCTCCTTCGACACACAGTTGTAGTAACAATACAGATAGCCGATCCATGCAATAATTACGAACAATTTTCGATATTATTAAACAATACTAATGTAAACGAAAAATCCATAAACGATTTAAAAAACTAACAATAACGATCTATTGGTAAAATGTATAATATATTCAGGAGTCATTATAATCGAATTAAAACTATAATTGAATGTTTTGCTATCTGAAATGACGTTTCACAAATTACCAAGAACTAAAATGGAAATTTTTAATACGTGTCTCCAACGTGTTGACAGTGATACATCACTTAGATCGATTAAATTGTTAATAGTCAAACTGTCAACAGGCGCATTTGTCAATGATCTACAGATGGCATCGGATAATTTATCTCAATTATATCATATATATATATATCAAAATAAACAACGGTAGATAAAACGGCTACTACCAGTTTTAAAAGAAGATAATTATCAATATAGTAAACGAAAGATATATAGGTTTGCTAACTAGTAACACATGACTTTTTTTTCTTTAATTGAAATAGGCAAAATCGCTAGAAATACATTAAAGCATAACAGTGACTATATTAATCATATTTCTCTCTGCCTATTTTTTTTACCTCCAACACACATATACACATACCCGCACAATTATACGCATACATACTCGCATAAACTACATACACTTCCTTTCTTTCTTCCTTCCCATTCTCTCTGATTCTTTTTTTTTGCCCCTTACCCCTTATCCCTACCTATCACTCTTTCTCATTCGATCTCTTTTTTTCTGACACATCCAGCATACAGTAACAGTTATACACATATACCGAGCAGAATGGCCATATGCCATTTCGATCGTAAGACTAGTGGAGGCCTGTACTAATGTAAGCTGTGCTACTAAAGGAGTCGGGCAATAGTAGAATCCCTTGGAGGTCTCAGTGGAGGAAGATTTTTCTTTTCTTTTTCTTCTTTTTTTTCTTTTTAACGCATTGAAGCACAGTACATGTAAAGGCCTCTATCTCCAGTTCCTGCGTTGCATTCGGAAAATTTATATGTATGTGTATATATGTATATACATACATATATATACACATATATATATTATATATATTATATATATCGCTTCTTCGCAATATCTTCTCACTTTTTTTTTTACTTCCGCTGCGAGGCACATATCATAACAATATCATGCACACGCTCAGATAGCGAGAATATTTGATATCTTGTTATATCTTGTTTAATATACGCAAGTGCGTCGTACATCGAAAAACATTATATATAGTTTCACTCACGTTCTTTTCTTTCTTTTTTCCGATCCATCTTCGCACCTTTATGATATTGTCTAGCAATAGGGGGCGCGCATTTCACAGCAAATTATATTTTCGAATTACACTCGTGACGATAACGATGCGAAACTGCACTATAAAGTATCGAGCGTTAAACTAAGAACGAACGCAGATCGACCGAAAAATATAGAAGCGTGTGAGCCGAATGTTACGTTATTGATCCGAATGCGAAGGAGGAACCATTGAATTTTCGGCGGTGATCGAGTGGTGCAGCTCCGCCGTTGGGGGCGTATCGTCACGTGAAGAATTTGCCACGTGAGATGTGGCGGGTGTCGCTGGCTGAGATTGAGTCGTGGGCGGCGTATATATTAGCCGATAGCCAGCTGGCAAAAAGAAACCGCCATGGGGCGTGCAGCTGAAAGTCTGAAAATTCGGTAGCGGCTGGCCCTCATATTGAATGTAGGCGCTTGTCGCGCTGGATATCGGTAAAGGCGCGGATACAGGTAACGATCCGACGTTTGTTGACGAGATATTCGTTCCCTCTGATAATATAGGAGTGAATTGGTACTGCGTCGGATTTCCAACCACCATGCTGTGCGTCGTATCAATGCTCTCGGATACATCATTCGAACAGTTATTACCTTGCTGAGAAACTACACTTTGCATATTTTCAGAAGGCACTACTGGAATTGGGATAACATAAGCATGCGGTATTCCAGCCGATGCCTGCTGCGGTTGAAGTTGCAGTGGAGGCTGCTTTAATTTCTGCATGGCTAGCCGTAAAGTCTCATCCGTATCCGGATAGTTACTCGGCCCTTTCTGCAGTGGAGTCTGCGGTGCTGTGCCAAACATTAGATAATCTTCCGTTCCTGGAATTCTAGGTCCTGTCAAATGACGAAATAACAATCAATCAGTATACATTGTACAATGAAATGAAATTAATTTGTACTACTGACCGGAGATATTTGTTGCGACCGTGTGATAAAGCAACGGATGATGCTGATGGTGAAGTGCACTTGCTTGTTGCTGTTGTTGAATAAGCAATTGTAGCTGTTGTTGTTGAAAACGTTCCAACTCCTCTCTATGTCTTTTTTGCAACGTTTCTAGTTCCAAAGTTTGTCTATACATAATAAAAATTGTTTTACATTCTTAAAAAATAGACAAATCGTAAATTAATCTTTGAAGTTCATTTTTATCTTTTTAGTTATTTTAATAGATTTTAAATGTTTTTATCTTTCGTTAAATAAAAGATAAATTTATGGTTTCTAAATGTTATATTTTAAATAATATTACCTCTTTATAAGTAACTGGTATTCTTCACTCGGTGTAAGAGCCACAAATCTCTCTTCTTTTTCAGACTGTAATGTCCAATAAATTATTTTATCTAACTCTATTATTCTTATTAAAATAATTTATTTTACAATTTTTATATTTTTATTTAATATAATGTTATAAAAAGAAACTTACTTCAATATTTGAAATATTAGTACCATGAGTTGCCTGTACAGTTGGCGGAATAGAATTTTCTCGACTATAAGATATTTGTGCAGATACTCCTATAATTAGAAAATATATCAATTGTTTTGATACATAAAAATGTTCTTATATATATTTATTACTATATTAATGTATTTTTATTTAAGTTTCATCTTTTAAGTAAAATCTCTAACCATGTAGATCATCTGTATGATGAGGAAGAACATTTTGCCGTTCTAAAATTTTTAATTCTTCCGTTTGTTGTAACTGAGACCTTACAGCGTCAGTAACTTGTTGTTGATTAATAACAGCATTGCTATGAACAGGCGGACCCGAAACCTTGGAAACCATAAATCTTGATACTTTTCTAGCAGGTTGAGTAGAATTTGCCTTCTGCGTCAACATTATTATTCCAAGATAAATATTCCAACATTTTTAAAAACAAATATATTATAAAATTATTTCTATTATAATTTTGTAACATTTTAGAAAAAAAGTATGACAATCGAACTAATAAATGCAATATGTATAAAAATAAAAAGATAAATAATGTAATGTATTTTCGAAAATGTCGCAAAAAATTACCTCATTAATAGTGTCTTGGAATTCTGCTTGAATTGGAGTATTGGTACCAGATCGCGATGTCATGATGTTAGAAGTAACAGTAGCCACAGGTACTATTGATACTGGCTGAGCGGTTGTTAACAAATTTTGTACAGATTGTTGTGTTTGTACGTTTGATATAGGTGGCGTTAAAGATTGAACTGGAGCTGCTGCGAAAACTGAACCTCTATGATGAATTTTTGCTAATTCTTGCTCTAGTTCCTGCAAACGGGATCCTGGTCTTTGAGTTCGTATCTTCACATTTTCTTTGCTCGGGCTCA